TGCCTGTAATCCCAGCACTTTAGGAGGCTGAGGTAGGAAGATCTCTTGAGCCCAGGAGTTTGAGACCAGCCTTGGCAACATAGTGAGACTCTATGTCTAACAACAACAACAGATTAGCCAGGCGTGGTGGTGGAGGCCTGTAGTCCCAGCTTTTCAGAGGGAGAGTTGGGAGGATCGCTGAGCCCAGGAGGGCAATGCTGCAGTGAATCATGAGCTAACCACTGCACTCTAGCCTGGGTGACAAACCAAGACCTTGTAAAATAAAAAGAAAAGAAAGAAGGAACAAAAGAAGGAAAAAGAAAGAAAAAGGAAGGAGGGAAGGAAGGAAGGAAGGAAAAGAAAAGAGACCATGCAAAGAAGGCAAGGGTCCAGCTTGGGCCCCAGCCCAGGGACAGGTAGGAGCATCCCCATGGCTACTTGTTGCCCTGTCACGTGGGCTCACCTGGCTTAGTCACACCCTCTGTCAGATCCAGGGGAAAATGAGAATCCATTACAGTAGGCCTGTCTCAGCTCCTGTTTGCTTTGGCCACGGTGTGATGGCATCTTGCTGGCTTTGCCAACAGGATTTACGTGTTTGCTCTCCCGCCTGGCATGGCTGCTGAGGCAGCTGGCATTCTGCTCCTGCTTATCATGCTGGCTGAGACTTCCTGCTGCTGCTGCTTCCCCTTTCTCAGATGGATGGAATTGTATTTTATTATCATTGTCACAAGACTCCTATGCTTAAGAAAGCAGGGTCGTGGAAGGAGGCCACAGACTTTCCCTTTCAAACGGCTCCCCAAGAAGTACATACTCAAGGACTAAGATGTATCAGGCAGTATGCCAGGAAAAGAAACAGAGAGCCAGAAAAAACAGGCACAGGCACCAACCCTAGATCTTTAAAGGACTTGCTTTGCTTTCCACCATTCTTTCCTCATGCTTTCTGGGGACAGTAGTAGATAGCGGGAGTAAAGGGGAAGGGAGCCCCTTGCTGAAGGTCACCCCAGATCAGCCAGAGCCCACGGCTGGAGAGTCTCAGAAGAAGCAAGATTATCAGGTGCCTAATGGGAAGAACATGTGTTCAGAACAATCATGTCCCCTCCCATACCCAAAGCAATTCCCAGAGCCCTCAGCCACCTCCCCAGCACACAGTGCGCATTCAGGAGACATAAAATACCCTCCACATGACACAATGCCTGCTTGGCTTTCCAGGCTGCTGGTGAATAACTTAGAGTCACGGCTGGAGAATGCAAAATAATTGAAAGCAATGCTTAGTAAATTGCAGTTTCAAGGTCTTCATTGCCTTCCTACCAATTTGAAAAACTCATTTTATTGCTTTTTTAGATTCCTTGAGTTGAAATACCACTGTGTGCTATAATTAAGCTAAGTGACATGCCAGCTGTAAAGGCAAGGGTTGCGAATGATTACATTTAGTTCATGTAATCATCCAGGATGAGTGTGGGGAGGGAGCCTGAGACAGCTGCCACTCTGCCTTGCTTACACTCTTGGCCAAGGTGGAAGGAAAGCTGGAGTCTGAAATTACTTTTTTTTTTTTTTTAAGAAACAGGGTCTCCCTCTGTCACCCAGGCTGGAGTACAGTGGCACAATTATAGCTCACTGTAGCTTCAACCTCCTGAGCTCAAGCAATCCTCCCACCTCAGTCTCCCGAGTAGCTGGGACTACAGGTGCGCACCACCATGCCTGGCAAATTGTTGTTGCTGTTTGGTAGAGACAGGTTCTCTCTACGTTGCCCAGGCTAGTCTCAAACTCCTAGGTTCAAGTGATCCTCCCACCGCAGCCTCCCAAAGTGCTGGAATTACAGGTGTGAGCCACCACACCCAGCCAAAACCTTCTTTATTGATTGTTTTCCCTCTGCCAGGCAGTTAGCTGCTAAGTCCCAGCTCTACGATACTTTTCTCATTTGTCTCTCCTTTTTCTTCCAGCTTATTGAGGTACATCTGCCTCCTCTACTTTACCCTAGCCAGCCATCCTGATAGAGGCTGCAAGGGCTTGAATCCTGGACCACTGTATGAGACTCCCAAGCCCTCTCTCACCTTTGGGTGTCTCCCTTACACAGCCATCCTACCTTCTACTACCAGATTCATCTTCCTAACACTAAATAAAATCCCCCAGCAACAAACCTTCAGCAGTTTCCCACTGCCTGCTGAATGAGGTAAACACTACCCAGGATAACAGTTTAGCCCCTCTGCAATATTTATTCATTCAGCACATATTTACTGAATTCCTATTATGTCCTAGGTACTAAACTAAAAGCAGAAAACATAAAGATGTAGAGACACGGTACATTCCAGTGGACAGACAGCTGCACAAATTCATTGTCGTGAGGAGTGAGTCCAATAATGGCAATATAAACTAAGAGTCCCTGCGTTTCCAATATGGTCTCTTAATCATCTCCCAATTTCCTTTCTGATCCAGCCAAACTGGACTAGATCTCACCTTTTTTTTTTTTTTTTTTTTTGATATGGAGTTTCGCTCGTGTTGCCCAGGCTGGAGTGCAGTGGCGTGATCTTGAGTCACTGCAACCTCTGCCTCCCAAGTTCAAGCAGTTATCCTGCCTCAGCCTCCTGAGTAGCTGGGATTACAGGTGCATGCCACCATGGCTAATTTTTGTATTTTTAGTAGAGACTGGGTTTTGCCATGTTGGCCAAGCTGGTCTCAAACTCCACACCTCAGGTGATCTGCCAGCCTGAGCCTCCCAAAGTGAGCCACCACGCCCAGCCTGAACCGTACCTCTTGATCACGTTCAGGGTTTTTAGTTTCTTCCAGGTCTCCATACCTCAGTCCATATCTTATATCCACCTTTTAAAATCTTATTTATCTTTTTCTACCACCTCAAATATTACCTCCTCCAGTGAAGTGGACTTGGTCCTCTCGGCTAGGTGTGAGGGTGTTTCCTTCTCATCTACTGACACTGTTTTTTAGTGGCACTTAGCTCAGGGTAGTTATGGACCTGCCTTCTTCCACAGCACACTCCTCAGGAGCAGGAACTGCCACAGCATTTTTCTGTCTCGCAGGAGCCAATCAGTAGACAGTTGCTCTGCACAGCCCTGTGAGTGAACAGGCAGGAGGTGGGTAGGGCTGGGAAGGCAGCCTAACATCACGCCTTCTCATTGGACAACACTGAGCTGTTAAAGCCTCTAGACAGGATGTGCTACATAATTTGGCATGCCCAGTGCAGAATGAAAATGCAGAGTTCCTTGTTCAGAAATTATTCAGAATTTCAAGATGGTGCTAACAGGGCATTAAACCAAACAGAGGGCTCTTCAAAGTGCAGGGCCCCATGTGACCGCACAGACTGCATGCCCTGTCTCTAGGAGCAAAGGTGCGAGGACCACAGTGTCCCATAGAAAGCCAAATAATTTTCGCATCATCTAACTAAGGGACTTTTTTTTTTTTTTTTGAGACAGAGTCTTGCTTTGTCACGTAGGCTGGAGTGCAGTGGCATGATTTCGGCTCACTGCAGCCTCTGCCTCCCAAATTCAAGCGATTCTCCTGCCTCAGCCTCCTGAGTAGCTGGGATTACAGGTGTACGCCACCATGTCTGGCTAATTTTTGTATCTTTAGTAAAGACAGGGTTTCACCATATTAATCAGGTTGGTCTCAAACTTCTGACCTCATGATCCACCCACCTCAGCCTCCCAAAGTGCTAGGATTGCAGGCATGAGCCACCATGACCAACGACACTTCCTTTTCATCAGCTCAGGAACCTTGACTGGGTGAAACTGGTGACCAGGGAGAAAAGGGGAGAGATGTAGAGATTCCAGGACGCCCCTTTACAGCAAGTCTTACATCTTTTGCTTGGGCCAGGCTATGATCTGTGGCAACCTGATGAGAACAATGGGAAAACCGGCCACACATCAGTCTGTTTTGAGCCTTCTGAATGGCATCAGGAATGAGCTACTGAAGTGGAGGTTGGGGTGACGATTACGCTTTTACTTGTCTGCTGAGATAACCAGGCCCTGGCTTCTTTTGCCATCCAGGTGGGCCTTGACTATTTACTAAAAAGAACGCTATACCAGGATCCTTGAAAAACAGGCCCACATGCAGATGACGTGTGCATATGTGTGTTTCAGAGCTGGACACAAATGACTTGGGTCTAACATCTCCATCCTTGGATAATTTAGTTCTTTTGCCTGAAAGGTACTGTAGGCTTCAAGCATCCCAGGTTCCCCTGACATTCTTGAGGCCAGAAAGTTATTCTATTGGAAATCCACAAGGCAAAGTCGGGTCAACACAGTTGGGTGAAGCAAGTGCTTGTCTTCAGAACTTACTTCTTCCACCCCCGCCCCATACGCCTCCCCAAAAAGTCTCACCAAGGATCGGACTCAGGAAGAGCAAGTGAGACAAAAATTGATCACATTACAGGTGCAAGCCACCATGCCCGGCTAATTTTTCATGCCCTTTCCTGGAAAGGGCAGAAAGTGAGCTCGCAGACAAGGAAAGATGTTATGCCTAGGGTATAGCCAGGCCCTGTGCTGGGCAGAGCTGGTGCAGTCAGAGTGCCCCAGAAAGGGCAACATCAGGCTCTGGGCTCCCAGCAAGGAAAGGAGGGCTTACTGGAGACCATTTGTCTGAAGAAAATCTTCAAAGCTTCCTGACATATTTTCAATATATTTGGAGCCTTTTTTTTTTTTAGACAGAGTCTCACTCTGTCACCCAGGCTGAAGTGCAGTGGCATGACCTCGGCTCACTGCAACCTCTACCTCCTGGGTTCAAGTGATTCTCCTGCCTTAGCTTCCTGAGTAGCTGGGATTACAGTTACCCACCACCACGCCCGGGTAATTTTTGTATTTTTAGTAGAGACAGGGTTTCACCATGTTTGCCAGGCTGGTCTTGAACTCCTGACCGCAGGTGATCTGCCCACCTCGGCCTCCCAATGTGCTAGGATTACAGGTGTGAGCCACTGCGCCTGGCCTGGAACTTTCTTAGTGAGGTGTACTTAGGATAACTGTCTCCCCGCCACTTTCCCTTCCCATTCTCCCTCCAGATCAGGCTCCTCCTCCTGGCAGTAAGCATGGCAATTTCTTTTTTTTTTATTAATGGATGCCTGAGGGGAAAGTGTATCATTTGTGCAGGTTGATGGAAGAAGCATCTTCAGGCTGGGTACTCTCACCTCTGTTTTCACTGGTGAGATTAAGTTGGACTGGTGAGGAAGGTCACCAGAAGATGCTCGGGCACTGAGGTGGCAAGTCTTTGGGCTGGGGATGGGAGGAGGTCGGGTCTTGACTTTGCAAAGTTGTAGCTGCCTCAGTTCTCTCACTCAGGGTTCAGAGTTACGGACCTTGCCCATCTCTGACCTTGTCTTTTATCCTGGAGGTGAAGATCAACTGGCACAGTTCTACTGGTGGACTGAGGGCTTTTGACTCCTGGAAATCATGAGTCCTTCTGTGAAACACTACTCCCTAAGTTGCTTTATCTGGGGGAGTGTTCTGGATGATGGTGCCATGTGAGGAACCCAGAGAAGTGTCACTGGTAGGGCAACTGAGGTGTGTCCTGGGGCAGCACCGGGAATCGACCCCCGGGAATCATGGTCCTGTAGCACTGTAAGCTAACTGGGAGGGCACAAAGGCAGGGCTGCTGGCCTCAGTGCTGCTAATGGGAGCTGATGAAAGACCAGGACATCTAGGTGAGAAAACAAAACTTCAGTTGATTCTGTGGACACTGGAGACACTGTGGGAAGAGACAAACCATTTCCTGCAAGTTAAGAGGTAGGAAGGGGAAAATGGCCGAGATCCAGTATGTTTCTGGAAAAAAAAGAAAAGATTTTTTAAAAAGATATTCCTTTAAAATGCCCTCTAGAATATTAAAGTCAATTAACTCATCATCACCATTCCCATCTAGTAGATCAAGAGACACTTAGGTGAATCATATCCGTATCCACCAGAAACTCATTCTACCTACACAGCATTCGTCTTCCTGCAGCCTTCTTGTCTGAAATATTGGATATGGATCATTTAAGAGCAGCCAAGATGGCTGGCTGGAGAGAATGTTCTGGTGGTTAAGAAGCTGTATGCCCGGGCCGGGCGCGGTGGCTCAAGCCTGTAATCCCAGCACTTTGGGAGGCCGAGGCAGGTGGATCACGAGGTCAAGAGATCAAGACCACCCTGGTCAACATGGTGAAACCCCGTCTCTACTAAAAATACAAAAAATTAGCTGGGCATGGTGGCGCGTGCCTGTAATCCCAGCTACTCAGGAGGCTGAGGCAGGAGAATTGCCTGAACCCAGGAGGCAGAGGTTGCGGTGAGCCGAGATCGCACCATTGCACTCCAGCCTGGGTAACAAGAGCGAAACTCCGTCTTAAAAAAAAAAAAAAGAAGCTGTATGCCCTTGGACAATTACTTCACCTCTCTCAGCCTTGGTTTCCTGATTTGAAAAAGGACAACAACAAGGCCTTGAGGACTGAGATAATATATGCAGAGCTTTTAGTACACCAACGGGAAGTGTGTCTTGGGCCAGTTCACACTGGGCTCATCACCATCAGCACAATAGCAGCAGCAGCAGCAACAGCATCACCATCTTTGCAGGTACCATTGATTCAGTAAGTTGTCAGGCTTCCCACTTTGTCAAGCCATGAGTCATCCTTAAAATCCTACAAAAATGAGGCCAGGCACAGTGGCTCGTGCCTGTAATCCCAGATCTTTGGGAGGCTGAGGCAGGTAGATCACTTGAGGTCAAGAATTTGAGACCAGCCAGGCCAATATGGAGAAACCCCATCTCTACTAAAACTACATTCCAAAATTAGCCAGGCATGGTAGCACACCTGTAGTCTGAACTACTCAGGAGGCTGAGGCAAGAGAATCACTTGAACCTGGGCGGTGGAAGTTGCATTGAGCCAAGATTGCACCACTGTACTACAGCCTGAGCAACAGAGTGAGCCTCTGTCTCAGGAAAAAAAAAAAACAGCAGAAAGAAAAAGTTAACCAGGCATGGTGACAAGCACCTGTTGCCCCAGCTACTCAGAAGGAAGAAGTGGGAGAATCACCTGAGCCTGGGAAGTTGAGGCTGCAGTGAGCCGTGAGTGCCACTGTACTCCAGCCTAGATGACACAGCGAGACCCTGCCTCAAAAAAAAAAAAAATCCTACCAAGTAAGTTGCTTATTCCCTAGAATTGAACTGTTACACAGAACTGCACCCTGGACTCAGTGACCAACCCACTGTGAAAGCAGGTCCAGAGGAAGAAGAATGAGATTATAGTCACTAAAGCAGAGACATGGAAGAATTTGTCAGGGCTCCATTCCTCACATGGGTCAGAATGGGTGCCAAGTTCATGGCCAAGTGGTAAAGAGGAAGAAACTTAGAGCTATTTGTCCAGAGTCCATCACTTGTGTGAGGTTGGGCGAGTCATTTAACATCCTCAACCTTGAGTTTCTTCACTTGCAAACTGGGCATAAGGTAATAGCATCTGCCTCGCCAACCTCACGTTGTCAGCATGAGGATTCCATGAGATACAGTCTGTAGACCTCATGTGTGGAAGGTGTTATTACTATTATGCTTTCCAAGGAAATTCCTGATCCTCAACTGGAGCCTCTGCTTGCTCTTCCTTCTTTCCTTCGACCTTTATTTATTTATATATTTAGAGACGGAGTCTTGCTCTGTTGCCCAGGCTGGAGTGCAGTGGTACAATCTCGGCTCACAGCAACCTCTGCCTCCCTGGTTCAAGTGATTCTCCTGCCTCAGCCTCCTGAGTAGCTGAGACTACAGGTATGTGCCACTACACCTGGCTAAGTTTTTGTGTTTTTAGTAGAGATGAGATTTCACCATTTTAGCCAGGATGGTCTCGATCTCCTGACCTCGTGATTCACCTGCCTCGGTCTCCCAAAGTGCTGGGAGAGCCCAGCCTCAACTATTATTTATTATGCAGAAGCCCTCTTTTCACACCATATTCTGCTCCATCTGTAAATCAGTGCATTAATAGATGGACATTCTGCTGTCTAAAATTCATCTTCTGTGAGTTTGCTTTCTTATTTGTAAGTCCTTTATGGTCTGATTAGTTTGGACAGAACTTTTAGAAGCCATCATTTGACCTAAAAGCAGAGGGCCAGCTCTGAGATCTGGTGACCCCATACAGTATTCTAGGAGGCTTTGCTTGATCTTTGTCATCTCTACTTGCAGAAATGCCTCCACTGAAGAGCCACTTACTGTCACCTCAGCTCTAACTAAAGACTAATATGAAAAGTATTATTTGAAAGACAGATCGTATGGCTTCAAGAGCTTGGGGCTTGGGAATCAGAAGTATCTGACTCAAATCCTTGCTGTGCCAATTAAAAACTGGGGGACCTTCTGAATGTCAGGCCTTATGCTCTTTGAGCATCAGTTTTTTTTTTCTTTCTTTTCTAAAGTTCAAGGCTGAGTGCAGTAGCTCACGCCTGTAATAACAGAGCTTTGGGAGGCCGAAGCAAGAAAATTGTTTGAGGCCAGGAGTTCAACACCAGCCTGAGCAATACGGGAGACCCTCTGTCTACAAAAATAATTTTTTTTTTTTTGAGACGGAGTTTTGCTGTTGTTACCCAGGCTGGAGTGCAATGGCACGATCTTGGCTCACCGCAACCTCCTCCTCCTGGGTTCAAGCAGTTCTCCTGCCTCAGCCTCCCGAGTAGCTGGGACTACAGGTGTACACCACCACGCCTGGCTAATTTTTGTATTTTTAGTAGAGACAGGGTTTCACCTTGTTGACCAAGATGGTCTTGATCTCTTGACCTCATGATCCACCCTCCTCGGCCTCCCAAAGTGCTGGAATTATAGGCGTGAGCCACCGTACCCGGCCTCAAAAATAATTTTTAAATTAGCTGGGCATCGTGATGTGTACCTGTAGTCCTAGCTACATGGGAGGCTGAGGCAGGAGGATTGCTTGAACCCTGGAGTTTGAGATTATGGTGAGCCATGATCCTGTCACTGCACTCCAGCCTGGGCAATGGAATGAGATTGCCTCCAAAGAAAATAAAAATAAAGTAACCAGGTGCAGTGACTCATGCCTGTAATCCCAGCACTTTAGGAGGCAGAGGCGATGGATCACGAGGTTAAGAGATCAAGATCATCCTGGCCAACATGGTGAAACCCCGTCTCTACTAAAATACAAAAAAATTAGCTGGGCATGGTGGTGCGCACCTGTAGTCCCAGCTACTTGAAAGTCTGAGGCAGGGAAATCACTTGAATCCAGGAGGCAGAAGTTGCAGTGAGCCGAGATCATGCCATTGCATTCCAGTCCGGAGACAGAGACTCTGACTCAAAAAAAAAAAAAAAAGAAAGGAAAAGAAGCTGGGTGCAGTGGCTCAAGCCTGTAATCCAAGCACTTTGGGAGGCTGAGGTGGGTGGATCACCTGAGGTCAGGAGTTTGAGACCAGCCTGACCAATATGGGGAAACACTGTCTTAAAAAAAAAATTAAAAATTAAAAAAAAAGAGAAAAGAAAAATAAAGTGTATAATTGTGATTGAAATTGAATTAGATAAAATCTTTATCTAGAAGAGTGCTGGCACCTACATAGTCACCTAGTCAAAAAAAAAAGGGGGGTAACTGTCATCATCTCTCACTCTGAATTTTTTTTTTCTTTAGAGATGGGGGTCTTGCTATGTTGCCTAGGCTGGCATGCAGTAGATATTCACCAGTGCGATCCCACTACTGATCAGCATGAGAGTTTTGACCTGCTCCATTTTCATCTTGGTTTACCACTCCTTAAGCAAACTGGTGGTCCCAGCTCCTGGGAGGTGACCATATTGATGCCAAACTTAGTGCAAATACCCTATCAGGATAGCACATTATAGCCCAGAACTCCTGGACTCAAGCAATCCTTCTGGCTCTCCCTTCCGAGTAGCTGGGACTACAGGCACTCCCCACCACGCCCAGCACCATGACTGACACTAACACATAGCAGTGCCTTCAACCATTGTTTATTATGGCAGTAAAGATCTATAAGACTCCACATGATAAACTGCTCTTTCAGGGAAATAAGTCTTCCCTAAAGAACTACTAAACTAGCCGGCCAAGGTGGCTCATGCCTGTAATCCCAGCACTTTGGGAGACCGAGTGGGGTGGATCATGAGGTCGGGAGATTGAGACCATCCTGGCTAACACAGTGAAACCCCGTCTCTACTAAAATGCAAAAATACAAAAAAATTAGCCTGGCATGGTGGCACGCGCCTGCAGTCCCAGCTACTCAGGAGGCTGAGGCAGGAGAATTGCTTGAACCTGGGAGGCAGAGGTTGCAGTGAGCCGAGATTGCAGCACTGCACTCCAGCCTGAATGACAGAGTGAGATTCTGTCTCAATTATTCATCTAGGAGAAAATATTGAAATCACATCTGCCTACAAAATACCAGAGCTTCTTAGGGAATCTGAGCCCACTTTGCTAAAAAGTGACATGAAGAATCAGCACCTGATGTCAGAGGTATTCTCCAAGGTTCCACTGATGGGGAAGCCCTCCTTGTTCCCAGCTCACTACAACTCCAAGCAGATGAGAGCCGGTGTATACAGGGATGTCCTGGAGCTTGGGGGTGGGAGAGAAACCAACAGAACCAGTGCCAATCTTTGAGGAGCTCCCAGTCTTGAGGGGGAAGAATAAAGTTCCTGTCCTCAGGGAGACCCCCATCTGATGGTAGAGACGTGGTCCATACCACTAGGGACTCTCTCTGGTATGACGGGACAAAAAACGGACCAAAACAGAATGCTATGTCTGGCCTTTTCTTTCTTTCTTCCTTTCTTTCTTTCTTTCCTTCTTTCTGAGATGGAGTCTTGCTCTGTCACCAGTCTGGAGTGCAGTGGCGCAATCTTGGCTCACTGCAACCTCTGCCTCCTGGGTTCAAATGATTGTTCCGCCTCAGCCTCCCAAGTAGCTGGGACCACAGGCGCGTGCCACCACACCCAGCTAATTTCTTTTTTTTTTTTTTTTTTGTATTTTTGATAGAGATGGAGTTTCATCATGTTGGCCAGGATGGTCTCGATCTCTTGATCTCATGATCCACCTGCCTCGGCCTCCCAAAGTGCTGGGATTACAGGCGTGAGCCACTGCGCCCGGCCATGTCTGGCCTTTTCTGTTAAGAGGTTCAGAGCCAAATTCAATGGTCAGTGCAGGAAGCACTTTATTACACCCTCTTAGTATAATAATCTTTTCCCTTTCTTTGTGTGGCTTCTGATTATTATTATTTAGTTTTAACAGTCCTATTGAATACAAGTTTTCATTGTAATCTGCCACATCATCCTCTCTTTTTAAAGAGTAGAAACAGGCTGCATGTGGTGGCTCACATCTGCAATTCCAGCACTTTGGAAAACCGAGGTGGGTGAATAGTTTGAGGCCAGGAGTTCGAAACCAACCTGCTCAACCTGGTGAAACCCTGTATCTACTAAAAATACAAAAACTGGCCAGTTGTGGAGGTGTATGCCTCTAGTCCCAGTTCAAGAGGCTGAGGCATGAGAATTGCTTGAACCCAGGAGGTGGAGGTTGCAGTGAGCCGAGATCGTGCCACTGCACTCACCTAGGAGACAGAGTGAGACTCTGCCTCCAAAAATAAACAAACAGTAGGAACATAAATAGCAATACATAATTAACTATGTTTACTTAAAATTCTAGTACCAGAAAATCATGAACCATATGCTGAAGATAGTGGGAGAGGATTGGAGCTCCTTAAGGATCAGACAGTTTTGCTCCAATGACAGCCCACAGGTCAGGGCTGGCTGTAACAGTCTCCTCTGCCCAGGCCTGGATCTACATGTAAGACAAGTACTTACAGCCAGGCGCAGTGGCTCATGCCCATAATCCCAGCACTTTGGGAGGCCGAGGCGGGCGGATCACAAGGTCAGGAGTTCCAGACCAGCCTGACCAACATGGTGAAACCCCATCTCTACTAAAAATACAAAAATTATCTGGGCATGCTGGGAGGTGCCTGTAATCGCAGCTACTTCGGAGGCTGAGGCAGGAGAATCACTTGAACCTGGGGGCGGAGGTTGCAATGAGCTGAGATCGAACCACTGCACTCCAGCCTGGGCAACAAAGCGAGATTCCATCTCAAAAAATAAAAAAAGACAAGTACTTATTACTCATATTTAAAAGACTTATTCAAAAGACAAATTTCCAGGGCCACTTCCCAACCCACTTATGCCTGAATTCCCAGGGGGTTGGACCTGAGAAACTACAGGCATAAACAAGGGCCCTCACATGATTGCCATCATCAGGGAAATTGGCAAACATCAGGCCCAGCTCTTCTCTGCGCATGATGAGAGGACTATCAGAATCAACTAGAGGAACTTCATAAAATGCAGATTCCTGAGCTCTCTACCCAGGACCCACTGAATCAGAATTTCTGGGAGGAGGCCCTCGAATATGCATTTTTTTACAGACACTCAAGGTGCTATCTATGGCTTGGATATTTCCTTGCAGACCCTCCTGCAGTGTGATCTACTGGTCACAAAGGGCCAGGTGAGAGTATCTGCTCACAGTAAGCTTTGGGCAGCAGGGTGGAGGGAGGTGATTCTAATCTCTAGCCTTCTTCTTTAGGCAGCCAAGCAGCACAGATCCCTTAATTCCACAGCTCTATGTTGTAGAGTTCTCCCAAGTTTTTACATCTGACCTTCCCTCAGAAGCACTGAAGTTCAGACAGAGGGCATCTTATCACCTCCTGGGCCTTTTGCATGGTAAAATCAAAGCTTCTCAAAGGAAGAAGTGGAGGTTCCACATCCCAGTCTCCACTGTCCTGTTGCTCTGTGCCCTCAGCACACTGCATCACAGGGCCAGCCTTTGGAGCAAGTGATCTAAGCCTAGACCAGGCTGCGCAGCTTGAAGGGTGTGAAAATCATGGTTGACATGGTTCTACTTCTGGGGTCTGCATATATATTACTGTCTCAATTTTAGCCTTAAGTGGGAGACAAGGCAAAGCGCCTAGTGGGGGCAGATCAGTTCTATGAGAAATATATTAATACATAGCAAGGGGGTCACTTTTTTTTTTTTTTAAGACAGGTGTTGCTCTGTTACCCAGGCTGCAGTGCAGTGGTGCAATCTTGGCTCACTGCAACCTTGATGTGTGGGCTGAATCAATCCTCCTACCTTGGCCTCTCAAGTAGCTGAGACCACAGTTGTGCTCCATCACACTCAGCTAATTTTTAAATTTTTGGTAGACACAGGGTCTTGCTATGTTGTCCAGACTGGTCTTGAAGCCCTTGCATCAAGTAATCCTCTTGCCTCAGCCTCTCAAGTAGCTGGAACCACAGATGTGTGCCACCACCCAGCTAATTTTAAAATTTTTTATAGAGATGGGGGTTTCCCTTATGTTGCCCAGGCTGGTCTCAAACTCCTGGGCCCGGGGGTCCTCCTGCTTTGGCCTCCCAAAGTGCTGGGATTATAGGCATGAGCCACTACATCCATTCAGGATCACATTTTGATTGAAGTAAGTCTTCATTGTCTAGTTACCTGAATGTCTTTATCAATCCATTCATCCTCCTACCTATCCAACATTCCAGAAAAATATAGAGCATCTGCCAACACACCAAACACTTTGAGAGACTATGAGTAGGTCTACCTAGCTCCTCTCACATCCTTTTTGACGAGAGATCAGACAATGGCCAAATGCTTCTTGATCCTGTATACACGAGCCCTTCATAGCACTTGTGTGGCTTCTGCCAGGCCTTGGATCCAGTCGGGCTGGTGTGGCGATCACCAGCAGGTCCCTCAGAGTAACGTTATAGCTCTGAGAACTCTGCAGGAGGAGGGAGGGCGTATCCAGCTGCCTCCTCTCGCCAGAGCTGTCACGTCGGGAGTAGCACTCCCCAGGCAGGGAGGGGTTTTCTGGAAAGGCAAAGTCATGGGCATCAGTGATTTGTGCTGTTGGATTCAGCACAAATTCCTGGTGAAGGCCACCTCCCAGCAGGGTCCTATGGTCTATAACTGGCTGAAGCTCTTTGAGCCAGAATCAGCCATTGCTCCTTTCCTCCAAATAGTTTTTCTTTCCCATTTTTTCTTACTTAAAAATCAGTAACTGGTGCAGCCTCAGCTGAATGAGCTTCATGTGAATGAGAACCAGAAAATGTTGAAGAAGGGACTTGGACAGCATTCTGTTTTTATCTTTTTTGTCTTCCCAATCAGACTAGAGACTTCTTAATGGCATGGACTGTGTCTCCACCATCAGACTGGAGTTTCCCTGAGGACAGTGGCTGTCCCCCACCAAAAGACTGCGAGCTCCCCAAAGATCAGGACTAGTTCTATCAATCCCTCTCCCCCTTAAGCTCCTGGCATATCCCTGTTCACACTGGTACTCACGTGACAGGTTAGTCATCCCCAGCTTGGGGTTGTAGTGAACTGGGAAGAAGGAGAGCTTCCCCCTCACTTGAAGCTTGGTGAGTAGCTCGGACATCAAATGTGGCTTCTTCATGTCACTCTTTAGCAAAGTCCAGCTTATGTTCGGACTCCCCAAGAAGCTCTGGGATTTTGTAGGCTGAAAAGGTTTTAACATTTTCTCCTGGATGAACTGTGGAGGGATCTGCTGCTTCTTGCATTTAAAGGATACCACCCTGTCTGTCTCTGGGCCACTGTACTCAGAGCTGGCGGTCACGGCCAGGGTTGGTGGAGACTCTGGGGAGATTGAGACTTTGGTGGTGGATTCTGGGCTAGTTTCTACTGAGGTTAAGTGCTGGAAGAAAAGACAGTTCAAAATGAGACTGTGGAAAGCAAAGCAAAGGGTTCCTTCCTATGCTTTTTTTTTTTTTTTTTTTTTTTTTTTTTTTTTTTTTTTTTTTTTTTTTGAGACAAGGTCTTGCTATGCTGCCCAGGCTGGTCTCAAACTGGGCTCAAGTGATCCTCCTGCCTCAGCCTCCTGAGTAGCTAGGACTACATATATATGAGTGCCACCATGCTCAGCTCCCATGCTATTCTTGATTACAATAAACAGATTAAGAGCTGGGTTCAGCAGCAAGAAAGATTAGGTTAAAATAGTTTCCTCACCATGAATTGGTTAAACACTAAGGCAAGAAGATGGTAGACGACTCTACAGCCTCCTCTAAAAGTCTCTGAACATGAGAGAGATTGTAAACAATAAAGACTGGCAATCAGAACAATAGGTATTATTGTTGTTGTTGTTGTTGTTGTTGTTGTTGTTGTTGTTAGAAACAGGGTCTCACCCTGTTGCCCTGGCTGGAGCACAGTGGTGCAATCTCTACCTCCTGGACTCAAGCAATCCTCCCACCTCAGTCTCCCAAGTAACTGGGACCACAGGCATTCACCACCACATCCAGCTAATTATTGTATTTTTTCTAGAGATGGGGTTTTGCCATATTGCCCAGGTTGGTCTCAAACTCCTGGGTTCAAGTGATCTGCCCACCTCAGCCTCCCAAAGTGCTGAGATTATAGGCGTAAGCCACCACTCCTGGCCTAGGTATTATTTTACAGCCATCAGACTGGCAAAAATTAGAAAGCTAGGTAAAGCCTGCCCTGTTACTGTGCAGAGGAACAGGAACCCATGGCTGCTGACAATCTAGGCTGCTATAGCCATTCTGAACCATCTAGAAATACTTGGCAAAATAAAATTACAAACACTCTGTGCCTAGCAATTCTTCTGCTAGGTATATATACTTAATATCTTATTAGACAGCTCTTGAAAAATGCATACACTGTGGCTGGTCATGGTGGCTCATATCTGTAATCCCAGCACTTTGGGAGGCTGAGGCAGGTAGATCACTTGACCTTAGGAGTTTGAGACCAGCCTGGGAAACATGGTGAAACCCTGTCTCTACCAATAATTAGCTAGGCATGGTGGTGTGCGCCTGTGGTCCCAGCTACTTGGGAGGCTGAGGTGAGAGAATCGCTTGAGCCTGGGAGATGGAGGTTACAGTGAACCAAGATGGTGCCACTGCACTCCAACTTGGGTGACAGAGTGAGACTCTGTCTGAAAAAAGAAAAAAAAATACACCAGTCTTCAAAGCAGCATTATTCACAATATCTAAAAAGTAGAAACTACTAAATGTTCACCAGCAGATGAATGGATAAACAAAATGGTATAAACAACATATATATATGGTATAAACTATATATATGTGTGTATATGTATATATGTATATATACATATACATGGTATGTATATATACATGTATGTATATATTATATATATGGTGTGTATATATACATATATAATATATATGTGTGTATATATACATGGTGTGTATATATATGTATATATATATGGCTTGTATAGATACATAATATGAATAATATTCCATGGTGTGTGTGTGTGTATATATATATATATATACATACATACATATATGTAAATATGGTATAAACTATATGTAAATATATATATATATATATACACACACACACCATGGAATATTATTCATATTATGTATCTATACACACCATATATATACACACATATATACACACCATGTATACATATATGTATATATATACACACACACACACACACACACACACACACACACACCATGGAATATTATTCAGTCTTCAAAAGGAAGGAGATTCTGACACATGCTGTAACATGAATGAACCTTGAAAACATTATGATAAGTGAAATAAGCCAGACACAAAAGTAAAAATATTATGATTCCACTTATATGAGGTATCTAGAGTAGTCAAATTAATAGAGGCAGAAAGTAGAATAGGGGTTTCCAGGGGCTGAGGGGAGGGGAGAATGAAGAGTTATGTTTAGTGGGCACAGATTTTCTGTTTAGGGTGATAGAAAAGTTTTGGAAATGGATCATGGCTATAGCTGCATAAATGTGTATCTGTCCTTAATGACAGTGAAATGTACACTTGAAAATAATTAAAATGGTAAGTTTTACATTACGTATATTTTATGATAATAAAAAACATATAGAGGGATGTTCACTGCAGCACTATTTACAGCAGGGGAGAAGCAAAAGCAACCTGTATGTCCCTACCTTGGAGAACTGATAAGGTGAAATGGGTAGCTGAAACCTAGTCTTGAGGCCAGGTGAGGTGGTTCACGCCTGTAATCCCAGGACTTCGGGAGGCTGAGGCGGGTGGATCCCTGAGGTCAGAAGTTCGAGACCAGCCTGGCCAACATGGTGAAACCCCATCTCTACTAAAAACACAAAAATTAGCCAGGTGTAGTGGCAGATGCCTGTAATGCCAGCTACTTGGGAGGCTGAAGCAGGAGAATCACTTGAACCTGGAAGGCAGAGGTTACAGAGTCGAAATCGCACCATTGCACTCCACCCTGGACAACAAGAATAAAACTCTGTCTAAAAAACCAAAAAACCAACAAACAAAATCACCCTAATCTTAGGGAAAAAGAAGAAGAAGAAGAGGAAACTGCACTTGATGAGATCTGTAGCATTGCAGCTTTTTGTCCAAGGACACCCACAATCCACAAGGCATGCGCAGCAGAAAGCCACAGTGTTACTGGCTAGAGGTAAAGTTTGAAGCAGTCAGAGAAGCCAGAGAGACAGAGCGTAAATTGTGAAATTGTGAAATTCTTTCATGTGCAGTTTGGCGTGACAAATAAACTACACACACTGGGGGGTATGGAACAGGGAGGAAAGGATCTCAGGGGACCCAATAAAAAAATGGCACTGGAAGCTGAAATAACTAATAATGTTTCCATTCCAGCTCACCACAGTAGATTTAGAATTTGAAGTTAATGCATTGCTCAAATAAAAATCACTCTTTAGGCTGGGCAAGGTGGTTCATGCCTGTAATTCCAACTATCTGAGAGGCAGAGGTAGAAGGATCCCTTGAGGCCAGGAGTTTGAGACCAGCCTAAGCAACACAGCAAGAGCTTTGTCTCTCAAATAATTGTTTAAAAATTAGCTGGCTGGGTGCAGTGGTTCATGCCTGTAATTCCAGCACTTTGGGAGGTCGAGGCAGGTGGATCACCTTAGGTCAGGAGTTTGAGACCAGCCTGACCAACATAGTGAAACCACGTCTCTACTAAAAAAAAATACAAAAATTAGCCAGGTGTGGCGGCGCATGCCTGTAATCCCAGTTGCTCAGGAGGCTGAAGCAGGAGAAGCACTTGAACTCGAGAGGGGGAGGTTGCAGTAGCTGAGATTGCGCCACTGCATTCTAGCCTGGGCGACAAAGCGCAACTCCATCTCAAAACAAAACAAAACACCCCACTAGATATGCAAAATAATAATAATAATAATAATAATAATAATAATAATCCACACTCAAGAGAACAAAAAGTAGTTAATACTCTAAGACCAGCTGGGCGCAGTGACTCACACCTATAATCCCAGCACTTTGAGAGGCCAAGGCAGGTGAAGTACTTGAGGCCAGGAGTTCCAGATCAGCCTGCAACATAGCAAGACCCCATTGCTTAAAAAATTAAAAGAATAAATAAATAAACATAGAGAAATAAAATACTTGAGATGACCCAAATGTTGCTTTATTAAGCAGACAAGGACTTTAGCAAGCATTATAAATATGGCCAAATAATTTAAAAAATATATGCATGCAAAATTCAAAAGTTGGAAATCTAAGCAGAAAAACAGCAACTATAAAAAAGAACAGCAGCCTGTGCAACATGGTGAAGCCTCATCTATACAAAAACTACAAAGATTAGCCAAGCATGGTGTCATGCACAGGTGTCCCAGCTACTTGGGAGGCTGAAGCAAGAGGATTGCCTGAGTCCAGAAGGTTGAGGCTGCAGTAAGCTGTAATTGTGCCACTGCACTCCAGCCTGGGTGATAGAGTGAGACACTGTCTCAAAAAAATAAATAAAAAGATCTGAGTAGTATTTCCATAGGGCTTAAAGGTATAATAATTGAAATAAAAAATTCACTGGATGGGCTTAATGGCAGAAAAAAGAGTCAGCAAGTTTGAATATAGAGCAATAAAAATTATTCAATCTGAAAACAAAAGAGAAACAAGATTAAAGAAAAATGAGTAGAACCTAAGAAGTCTCTGAGACAATATTCTGTGACTTAACATATATGTTCTTGAAGGTCCAGAAGATAAGAGAAACAAAATAAGGCAGCAAAAGATTTTGAATAATGGCAGTAAATTTCTCAAATTTGGTGAAAGCCATCAACATAAAAACAACAAGATCAAGAACCTTAAGTAAGCTAAATACTAATAAAATTATACGCTGGTTTCTCTTTAGATCATATAAATCTTTTGCCTTTTACAAATAAAACCACACCCAGACACATCATAGCCAAATTGCTGAAACCCAAAGATAAGGCGATCAGAGAAAAATGACATATTATATACATAGGGAACAATGTTATGAATATAGTTGACTACTAATTTAAAAAAAGACCAGAAGATAATGAACAACATATTTAAAGTGCTAAAGAGCTAGGCACAGTGGCTCATGCCTGTAATCCCAGCACTTTGGGAGGCCGAGGCAGGCAGATCACTAGAATTCACAATTTCAAGACCAGCCTGACCAACATGGTGAAGCTCCATCTCTACTAAAAATAAAAAACTTAGCCAGGTGTGGTGGTGCACACCTGTAATGCCAGCTACTTGGGAGGCTGAGTCAGGAGAACTGCTTGAACTCAAGAGGTGGAGGTTGCAGTGAGCCAAGATTATGCCATTGCACTCCAGCCTGAGCAACAAGAGTGAACTCTGTCTCAATAAATAAATAAAGTGCTGAAGGAAAAAGAAGTCAACCCAGAATTCTAGGTCCAACAAAAATATTCTTCAAAATTAAGGCTAAATACATTTTCAGATAAACAAAAATAGAAAATTTATTACCAACAGATAGATGTACACTACAATAAAAATAACAGAGATATTTTCAGACTAAAAACAACATATATATATACACACACACGTATGTAACATATATAGATAGATAGATAGATAGATAGATAGATAGATAGATAGACAGATAGATATCCTTCTCTTAAATTTTTAAAATACTATGATTAGTTCAAGCACAGTGGCTCAGACCTGTAATCAGCACTTAGGGACGCCAAAGTAGGAGAACTGCCCAAACCTAGGAGTTTGAGACCAGCCTGGGCAACATAACAAGACCCTGTCTCTACAAAATTTTTTTTTAAGTTAGCTGGGCACAGTGGTACAGTCGTCCCAGCTAAGCTACACAGGAGGCTGAGGTAGGAGGATCACTTGAGCCCAAGAGTTCTAGGCTGCAGTGAGCTATGACTGCTCCACTGCACTCCAGCCTGGGCAATAGAGCAAGACTCTATCGCTAACAAAAATTTTTTTTAATTTTAAATACTATTTAAAAGCAAAATGTATAACACTGTATCATAGGATTTATATGTATGTTAGCACAAAAGAGGGAGTAAGTTTTCTATACTTAAAATTAGGTACAACATTAACTCTAAATACATACAACGTTAACTCTAAATAAATAGAATGTATTTAGAATAAATACATTCTGATAAGTTGAAGATGCATATCCTTAGATCACTAAAAAAAAAAAAGTAAAAAGTTATAACTAAAAAAGCAATAGAGGACAGAATGGGAAAAAATTTTTGCAATCTACCCATCTGACAAAGGGCTAATATCCAGAATCTACAAAGAACTAAAACAGATATACAAGAAAAAAAAATGCTCATCATCACTGGTCATTAGAGAAATGCAAATCAAAACCACACTGAGATATCATCTTACGCCAGTTAGAATGGCGATCATTAAAAAATCTGGAGACAACAGATGCTGGAGAGGATGTGGAGAAATAGGAACACTCTTACACAGTTGGTGGGAGTGTAAATTAGTTCAACCATTGTGGAAGACAGTGTGGCGATTTCTCAAGGATCTAGAAATAGAAATTCCATGTGACCCAGCAATCCCACTACTGGGTATATACCCAAAGAACTATAAATCATTCTACTATAAAGACACAGGCACAGGTATGTTCATTGCAGCCCTGTGTACAATAGCAAAGACCTGGAACCAACCCAAATGTCCATCAATGATAGACTGGACAAAGAAAATGTGGCACATATACACCATGGAATACTATGCAGCCATAAAAAACAATGAGTTTGTGTCCTTTGTAGGGACTTGGATGAATCTGGAAACCATTGTTCTCAGTAAACTGACCCAAGAACAGAAAGCCAAATACCATATGTTCTCACTCATAGGTGGGTGTTGAACAACGAGAACATGTGGACTCAGGGAGAGGAGCATCACACACAGGGGACAGTTGGGGGGTAGGGGAGAGACAATGGGGGTGGAGAGGGAGGGGAGGGTGGGGAGGGATAACATGGGAAGAAATGCCAGATATAGTATGCACCTAAAGTAAAATAAGTAAATAAATAAATAAGCAATAGAGGAATTGAGACTAACAAATACTCGATTTTTAATTAACCCAAAAGCTGGCAGAAAAGGGAGAATGCAGGATAAGAAGCAAAAGCAGAAGAGATGAATAGAAAACAATTAGCATTACAGCTCTAAACCCAATTAATTGTATTAATAGTACTACTTTTTTGGGCAACAGAGTGAGACTCGATCAAAAAAAAAAAAAACAGAAAAGAAAAGAAATGATGACACAAACATAATCTCTTGAAGAAAACAAAAGAGAAAGGAATACTTCCCAACTGATTTTATGGGGCCAGAATTACCCTGATATCAAAGATATACAAAGAAAGTAGAAGGGAAAAAATTATAAATCAATACCTTTTATGAACTTAGACATAAAATTTTAGCAAATTAAATTTAGCAATGTATTAAAAAATACCATGACCAAGTGGGGTTTATCCTGGGATTGCAAGACAGATACAATATTCAAAAATCGATCAATATAATAGACCATATTAGCAGTCTAAAGAAAAAAAATCCATATGATTATATCACTTCATGCCAAAGAAGCTCTTGACAGGGTTAAACATCCATCCATTATTTTTAAAAACTCTCAGCAAACTAGGAATAGAAGTAACCTTTTTCAATCTGATAAAGGGCATCTACAAATACCTAACAGTTAGTATCATACTTAATAGTGAAAGATTGAATGTTACCCTAATAAGATTAGAAACAAGACAAAGATGTTTGCTGTCTCCAGCCCTATTCAACATTGTGCTAGAAGTTCTAGCTACTTCAATAAAGCAAGAAAAATAAAGAGCCTAATGATTGGAAAGAAGTAAAACTGACTTTATTTGAAAATGACATATGATGAAAATCCTAAATAATCAACAAAAAAGGGCCGGGCACAGTGGCTCATGCCTGTAATCCCAGCACTCTGGGAGGCCAAGGTGGGTGGATCACCTGAGGTTCGGAGTTTGAGACCAACCTGACCAATATGGTGAAACCCTATCTCTAAAAAAAAAAAAAAAAGCAAGGAAGAGCCTCCCTGGAGAGCCCTGAGGTGGAGCACGGTCCTGCCAGCACCGCCGTTTCCGACTTCTAGCCTCAAGAACTGTGAGAGAATAAATGGTGTTGTTTTAAGCCACCCAGTTGGAAGCAATTTGCCACAGTAGCTCTAGGAACCACTCCAGGGGAAAACCTGCCTCCGAAGAGGGGACGCACAAGAGCGCCTTCCTAAATGCCAGTCCAGGCCCATCCTCCCAGCAGCTATGCCATTCCACAGCATAGGCTTGTCCAGAGGAGACACTGAGGCCCAGGGAAGCTCAGTGGCTTACTCAAAGGGTCACAGCAAGTTGGGGGTAGAGAAAGGACCAGCAAGCAAGACTCCCACCACTCCCTCCCAGAGCTCAGCTCACTACTTACCACAGTGCCAGCGAATACGTTCACTGCAGAGGCAGACTTGGCCTCCTTGATTCTGAAGCTGAGTTTACTGGGCTCCAGCCCAGAGCTGCTGAGATTGAGATTCCTCAGATTGGGTACAGAACTGAAGGGTCTTGCAGACGTAGGCTTGGGGGAAATGGAGCCGGCCTCCTTCATGGGGGCCTCCTGGTTGAGGCTGCTGCCTGTTTCATTTTTCCTTTCATCTCTGACACTCAAGAGCAAGTCAGGTACACAGGGCACTAATGTCAATGGTTGGATGTCCTGGGGAGGAGGAAATCAAACACACAGCCCATGGGAACCCAGCTCTAGCTACTTCCAGATTCATCTGCACCCAGGGGTAGGTGCAAAGGCGATGAGAAGGAAAGCAATCGATATTCAAGTCTCTCTAATGTGGGGCTCTCAACCTGGAATTCTTAGACCCTCAGAGAGATCATGGATAGCTTCATGGGGTCTTTGAGCCACTTGAAATTGCAGTTTAAAAACTGCATTGTGTCAACAGAAAGGACGTCCACTAAAAAAAAAAAAAGAAAAAAGAAAGAAAGAAAAAAAAACTGCACTGTGTACTTTAGGGCAAGAGATTCCATGGCTTTTTATCAGATTTTTAAAGGGTCTGTGACCCTAACAAAGTTAAAGAATACAAAACAAAAAGCCTTGCTCTAATTCAGGTGAGTCTTTGAGATAAAGGAGATGGACTGACACATCAGCTGCATCTTCCCGCTGAGCTAGAAGAGAGTGCTAAGCAGAGAAGGCAAAGACAGACCACAAGCCAACTGGACGGCTGATCCACAGCCAGGACTGGTCCACGCGTTGCACAGAGGAGGAAGGACCCAGCCAGGATCGACATCCCATGTGATGTTTTGAGAGTCCCACTCCCAGAAGCTCTTCCCAGGGGCCTGCTCTCTCGACTGTACCCTGGCCTGATGGAGGGAGCGTTCCAACCCAAGCAGCAGTTGAGGACCATGAGTACATGCAGTTCTGACATGCGCTCCGTAACTGAGGCTGGAGTTCAGCCTCCCAGCATGGCCTGGCTGCCCTTACTCCTACTAAAGGAGGCGAGAAGGACAGACCAGTGAGAGTCCTCTGCTGCCTGGATGGAGGGATCCTCCGAAAGATGCCGGGTCCTGTGTGCCTTCAGGGCTCCCCACCCCGCCCGCTGTTGCCCAGCCCTCTGCACAGCCCTTCAGTGTGTCTGAGCTCTAAGCAGTGGCCTCCTGAGCACCACTCTACGGATCAGCCCCAGGCAGGGAAGGGTGCTGGCTACGTGTGCTCCCCCCACTCTGGGTTTACTTGTTTGGAGGCTCGGGTCGTGGACTTGTCTTTCTGCTGTTGTTTCTGTTGCCAGCCCCTCACGCCCTTCTTTCTCACTTGCTCGCCTGCCGACTCCCCTTGCAGTTCTACCTTCTTCTTCACTTGGAAGGGCTTTTTCTCCCCTTTTAGTCTCAGCTCCTGGATCAGTTGCCTGCCCATGAAGAAGAAGTGAGTGTCATGGGAGTTAGGGATGTGCCACGCAGGCAGGCATTCTCCTTGGGGGATGGACATGACTTGGCGAAGAGGTAGCGAGTTCCACGTGCCCTCCTCCAACATATCTAGTCTGCACAAGTGATTGAAGGTCAAGGAGCAGGGTGTGGAGGAAAGCATCATTCCACCACCCATACCATCCCCCACGTGGGAACAGCATCCAAGGAGAGATGTGCAGTAAGGGCGCTATACCCTAGTCCACCACACTGCTATCTGTTTCCCACTTCCCAGCAGGCCAGTCCCCATCCATGGTAGGTGCTGGGGAGAGGGTCTGGGTAGGAAGCTAAAGCCAGAGGCTCCCATATTGGGCCGTGTCCTGTGCTGGGCCTCTCTAGCCAATGGATCCTGAGAGTGGACAAAAGGTGATATCATCTAGCAGAAATCACTGTCTCATGAGTCAGGACACAGGGGAGTTCTGGTCCCTCTTGTGTCATCAACTTTCTATGTGATCCCTTCTCTGCTCTGACCTCTCTCTCCATAAAATGAGCTGGTAGGAAAGGACTGGGAGTGGATGAGTGCCCCCAGCTCCCGGAGTTTATGCCTGTGTGAATCCATGAGGCAGCTTTGAGGGGTGGCCATCCTCGGGAGTGAGTTTCTAGAAACAGCTACCCCTAGGCCAGGCACGGTGGCTCACACCTGTAATCCCAGCACTTTGGGGGGCCGAGGTGGGAGGATCACGAGGTCAAGAGAGCAAGACCATCCTGGCCAACATGGTGAAACTCTGTCTCCACAAAAAATAAATATTAAAAAAAATTTTTTTAAGACATTAAAAAAAAAAAAAGGAAGAAAGAAACAGGTACCCCTCTCCACCTCACAAAGGGAATCTTCCAATTCCTTGTGAGACCAGGGCAGATATTCATCTGGCAACTTTCTTTCTTTGCTTTTCTTTGAGACAAGGTCTGACTCTGACGCCCAGGCTGGAATGCAGTGGTGCAATCGCAGCTCACTGCAGCTTCCCCTGCCCCAGACTCAGGTGATTCTCCTGCCTCAGCCTCCAGAGTAGCTGGGAGTCTAGGCACATGCAACCATGTCTGGCTAATTTTCCTTTTTGTTGTTTTGTAGAGAAGGGGTTTCGCCATGTTGCCCAGGCTGGTCTTGAACTCCTGGGCTCATGCCATCCACCTGCCTTGGCCTCCTAAAGTGCTGGGACTACAGGTATGAGCCATGGCACCTGGCTGCTCTGGCAACTTTCATGGCTGGGGACTCTCCCTGCCATTCCAGGCCGCTCAGCCAACACAATCCCCAGAGCCCCCCACCGACCTCATCCCGGAAGCCTTCCTACCGGGCATACACCTCCCGAGCCCTGGAAGCAACAGTATTCTGGAAGATGGAGTTGTTGTCCTGGAAAAACTTCTCATACTTCTCTGAATTCAGACTGGGATAAATCAGCCGGAACCCTCCGCAGTTATCCTTCTCATACATTTCAGCTTTCTTTAACTGCACGGCCCGGAAACCCTTGGCTTCCTCAATCCTGTTGGGAAGCAGAACATGGCGCTGCTGTTAAGTTTTCTTGGGACAAAGCCTGGAAGGGACATGTCCAAGCTGGAGGTCATCTAGGGCCAGATGGAAGCCTTGCATGTAATGGCAGTCAATCAGGATTTGCTAATAAATGCAGGACTGTTTCCCTGAAAGGAGATTCTAGCCCTCCTGGGACAGCCAGCGTCATAATATACTAAGAGCTGGTGAGCACAGTCTTTCTGAAAGCTCACCAAATTCTGTCCTGTTCCAAGTAAAACCCGTTTTCCCCTCGGCTTAGTTCTGACTAGGCAGACTGTTGCCACCTTTCCATTCCCTGCCCTGATTACCCTCCTCTAGAGAGTGGCAGCTTGTACTTTTGCTGAATTTGAGGGCTTCCTGAGTGAGCTTGATGACCCTTTACGAGCTGCAATGATCTCATCCTTCCTCACAGCCCCCTAGGGAAGTGGGGATCAGGTAGGGAGAAATGATAAGCCCTCTTTTATAGCAGGGAAACCCAGAGTCACAGAAATATCCAGGGCCAAGTAATGAGGAGACTGATTCAGAGGAGGCCCTTAACCTGGCAGCTGCTCCTCAATAGGACACGGCCTCCTTCTCGAGGAGTTTAGAGATGGCAGGGCATGGCGGAAGGCATCCTGGAATCCCAGGCAGCAGACCCACTTGGCTCTGGGTCCAGAGCTGTCATTTATCAGCAGTAAATGACCTTCCCAGTCTGCCTAGTCAGAACTAGGTTGAGGGGAAAATGGGTTTTACTTGGACCTTGCGCAAGTCAGTTTCCCTTCTGGAGTCTTGGTTTCCTTGGCTTCCAACAAGGCCACACAGCATCCCACCCTACCTACCTGCCCACTCCTTACAGAGAAGACAGTGCACGTGCCTGAGAAACACGGTGCCATCCAAACATAAATGCCATTTATGGCATCAGTTCTAGAAGCTCAACCCCCAAGGATTAGACTAGCTCTGCTCATGAGGAGTGCAGGGGGCTGTAGCAGGCTCTGAAAAGCAACACAGGGTCCCCTGGACTAGGCGCAGAGTCTCCTGACACTAGAATTACTCTACAGAATGGAAGCCCCAGTCACAAGGCAAGTGCTGCCGACAGGAAGCAGGGGACATTAGCTCCTGGCAAAACGGGAACGTGGAGAAGGACAGACACATCTTTCTTTATAGTAAAAATAAATGTATGGTCTTATTTTTATATTGGTAATTCACATAATGTTAATTTCTGTCCATAATAGGCAGCTATATATCTGTAACTTAATCTCCTATTTCTAGGAACAAAGGAATATTCAGAGTAAAACTATTCAATGTGCTACATTCTGCCAATACAAACTCATTTTCCAAGTAGGATGATCGTTTGTTGCAATGACCCCCTCCAGCTCTAGGCGAGATTCTAATAGCCTTCAATATACATTACAGCGCCAGGCACTATGCTAAGCCTTTCGTGTGCATTATCTCATTTAATTCGCTCAACAACCTTATGTATCATAGCTCCATTTCACAGAAAGAGGACTGAGGCTCAGAGAAGTGACAGAAAGGCCACATAACCAGTAGGCTGATGAATCATAATTTAGACCAGGACAGACCATTCTTACTGGGAGCAGGGGAGTCAGAGAGAGCAGTGCCCGCGGCTGGGGAGTGCTACTGTACCTCATCTCCCGAGAATAACACTGCTGCAGGAACTGCCCTCGTTGTCTCTCCTCCTCCAAGACTTTCTTCTTGTCACAGCTTTCCAGGTTGATCAGGACCAAGGTGTCATACAGCAGACCGTCTTTCACTTCTTTATCCAGCCAAGAGTCGGTGGAGAAGCTTGGAGAGTGGTTGACCTGTGAGAGCAAGATTGGCAGCTGGGGACAGGGCCGTCCAGAGTGAAGGCAGAGAGTGAGGCCAAGATGCCTCCTCCAAGGTGCCCACCTCAGGGCCCTGACAACCAAGATGAGAGGAAGGGAGGGGAGAGAGCATCTGGACTGGAGCCACAGTGAAAAAAGGAGGAAGTGGAACTCCCTCTAGTTAAACCAGCTTTTATCTCGGTCCTTTCTTCTTTGGGAGCATCAGGATTACCCTCCCTGGTATGTGTGTTCCACTCCATCTGGGGTGCATGTGTTCTCTCGTGTGCACTGGGCATCCAGAGAGCGGGATGGAAAGGGTCCTGCTCAAAGGCTCAGACGCAGGAGGTAGGGAGGAAAGGTATTCAGGAGCCCGGCCAGGGTGGAGGGGAGACAGGTGGGAGGAGGGAGAGGACTCATTTCTGCCCACTGAAAAGTCTGTATTGTTTGGAGGCATCATGTGACATCTGTAGATTTCTAAAAGTTTCTGAAGGACTTGCTCCTGGTGGCTCATTCTGCTCTTTGGGTAAGAGCTGCCAACAGGCACATCCCTCTTCCCACTGTACCTGGAAACAAGGGCTGGGACTGGAAGAAGGACAAAGCTGCGGAACCTAACCTGTCTTCTCGGGTTCTCCACCCTAAAGTCTGACTGCGTCGCTGCACCTGGCACTAGCACCCTTCGCTCTTCACAATGCTCCCTGAAGGGCCATGTGAAAGGGCTCCTGGGGACAATTCAATCAGGAAGAGAGGCAGCCACCAGGAAAGCTTCTCCCCCTCCTCGCACCGCCCCATGGGTCTGGGAGAGGCAGGCCCCCCATTTCCGTGGCAGCAGGCCCCAGGCCACTCTCTGCTCGTGCCTGTGAACCGAGGAGTCCAGGCCCCTAAGAATGGGGCATGGCTGCTCCTGTCTGATGCTGAACGTTGCCAACCCAGCTTTGATGAAGAACACTCCCTTTCTGGGAGACAACTCTGTTACAAAAGGTCGAGGCGTCTTTAGAATCACTCTGTGTCTAAGATCAACATTTCCAAGTCTGAGTGGACCTCAAGAAGGCACAAGGCATGCTCTAATTCCCAGCTGTCTATCCCCCTCTGGTGGCCACTTCTCAGCTACAAGAGAAGCCCCAGGCAGCAGGCATCATGGGAGGAAGTGGCCGGGGAAGTTGAAACAATTCAGGTGAGCCGGGAGGGCAGATCCTTGAAGCTGGCTGGCCCTAAGAACAGGAGTCCATTTTCGCCCCTTGCCCAAACTTCCCTACCTCCAACAGCCAGGGTTTGAGTTTGCGGTCCAGCAAAATGTCGAAGCCCAGAATCTCAAAGCAGGCGCTGTTGAGTGTGTGGTTGGGGAAGCAGGTGTGGTAGTTATGCCTGATGATGGGGTGGGCCGAGATGAGGGTCTTGATGATGACGTCCTCAATATCCCTCCATATCTGCTCCACATTGTAGCTGTGGTCCTCCATGTATGCATTGAAGGTGGAGAGCTTTCTGGAAGGAAACCATAGGTCAGGAGGCAGTGCAGCTGGCCTCTGGTCATCCGAGGCTATGGCACACTGGAAACCAGAAACTCCTGGCAGAGACAAGTCTCTAGCGCCAACAGGGATGAACGCCCAGGAGCCAAGGTGACATCTGGGCTGTGTCAGTGCCAGAGAAGGCCCCCAGGAATCCCAGGGCCACATTCTCCAAGCCTCCAGAGCCCCAGAGTGGATGCAGATGCAGTCACATAAGACATGGTCATTTTCACTGTGATCCAGAAAACGTTTATCAGCAGGGGAAGAGATGAAGAAAGAAAACCCCCTGACACCATGGTTTTACTTTGGCAGCAATGATTCCTCAGCCTTTGGTGTTTATTAGAAGCACGTGGGGAGCCTTTTAAGAATGCTGATACCTGGGTCCCACCTCAGCTGAGGGGATTCTAGGACACTAACTACACAGAAATCTTGTTTTAGGGCTGCCCATGAGGAAAAGGTATCCCAGGGCATGTCCACAGATAAGGTTACCAACTGTGCCAGGCAAACTGGACTGTCCCAATTTTAGAACTGAAAGTCCTGAATTCCAGGAAACCCCTCAGTCGTGGGCAAACAGACACAGCTGGACACCTGATCACAGGGGACTCAGAGATGTCTGCCTCATGTGGAACTCTTCATGAGGAAATACCTGAGTGGGTGCTCAGCCAGCTCTGAACTGGGCGTTACAGAGAGAAGACAGATCTCACAGATCCAAGAGGCAATGGTGGGGACGGACATTCGCCCCCTCACATCTACACACATGCACAGAGCCAAAGTGGAAGCGGGACTGTGGAAGGAGGAGGTGCAGGGGAGTGAAAAGAAGAAAGAATGAAGAAGACAAGAGACATGGCTCATCCAGGCAGTTCCAAAAGCCCAACTAGACCCCAGTCCAATGGGTCAAGAAGGAGGAAGCAAGGTCGGCCAGCCAGTGAGCATTTGATAAGGGCCTGTGCATGCAAAGCTGCATACAAGAAGGGGACACTAGAAACCATCACTTCTGTCATGGAGAGCCTCGGGACCATTCAGGGAGTCAATACACATGTGAAACAACCAAGGATGCATTTATACAGAGACAGATAAGCAAAGGCTACTCAATACAGAGCCCACCTCCTCCACCTGCCATTGTCAGAAAACAGTGTTACACATACATGGATTTTCCAGATCACTTTAAGCCAATTTTTTCAAGTGGAAAAAATGCATTTAATATGCCTAATTGGGAAATAAATTTTCCTGAAATAGATTATACACTTCCCTGACAACATATAACATAACCTTTTCTTGATGACTCAGGGCTCATCACAATGAATATACTTTATTGTGTAATTTCATAATGCCCAGTGGTGAGGCAATTCAATTTAATACCAGCCATGTGCTGAGCACACTGAAAGATGAAAATGGCTTGGTGTCTGCCCTAGAGTCCTGCCAGGTTTTCAGGTTTTCTGTCTTCTTCACTGTGACCGCAGCACTACCCCTTCTGAGTTTGTCCCCCAGTGGGGTATTGACAAGGCATGCAGTTGACCTCAACTGCCAACTCTGGGGCCGATGAGACAGTCAGTATGAGAAGCAGATTGCTTCAAAAGATAGAGAGGAGGAAGAAGAAAGGAGAAAGAAAAAGGGAAGGAGAGGAGGAAAGAAGAACTCTGCCCAGCAATATGGGAAGAACCCCAAAGGCCAGAGCACCATTGTAACGCTCAGGGAGCAAAGTACAACTAGGGACGCAAGACAAACGTGCACTGGGCAAAGAACAGCCATGGGCAATGACTGGTGTTGACCGTATTGTAAAAATACAAAGATTAGCCAGCTGTCGTGGCAGGCACCTGTAATTCCAGCTACTCGGGAGGCTGAAGCAGGAGAATCACTTGACCCGGGAGTTGGAGGTTGCAGTGAACTGAGATCGGGCCATTGCCCCAGCCTGGGTGTCAAGAGCAAGACTCCGTCTCAAGAAAACAAAAGACAGTGCCCTGCCCATGAAGTGGATGACATGGGCAGCATGGCTTAGTGGGTAAGGGCACCAGCTTAGGGGCCAGGCTGCCCTGGTTTCAATCCCAGCTTCCTAGCTGTGCCACCTAGGGTTAAGTAACAACTTTTTCACACCTCAGTTTCCTAATATGCAGAATAGGGATGATGATAATGCCGACTTCATAGTGTTGTTGTGAGGAGGATTAAGTGGTTTCAAGTATGTAAATTATCGCTAGGAAAAGAAATGTGCAAGCTCTCCAGCCCTGGAGATAAGAAGGCAGAGATGGGGAAGTTGGGCAGGGAGACCAATTTGGAGTGCTAGGGTGGAGGCAAGGAGAGAGAACGCACCCACACACACTGGGAAATGCTGAGTTGAAGATGTCCAGGTGGAACTGAGGAGAGATGGGCCCAGAGCCCAAGGGAAAGAGGCTGAACCCAGCGAGGGCAGGCAGAGGCCACAGGGGCAGATGGCTGCTCCAGGAGAGAGTGGATGGAGAAGCACAGTGGGGTGAGACGGAGATGAACAGAGGAAGCGGGAAATGGAAGAGGCAGAACTACACTTGAAGACTTTGCAACCTCACCTTAGTTCGGTTACCCCAAGACACCACTCCATCACAGCCAAGGGCTCAGAGCCTGCTGTTGGGGTCTCAGTTCTCATCGGATGAGGGAAATGAGAACCCTTCCATACTGTGCCCTTAGAATAAGGAAAAATGACGGTAACCACGAGCACTGTCCACGTTGCCATCACAAGTCATTTGAGCCTCACAGAGTGACAGGGCAGGGCAGGGAGTCTCATCACATTCATCCTCCAGACCAAGAAATGCAGGCTCAGGGCCGGGCACGGTGGCTCAAGCCTGTAATCCCAGCACTTTGGGAGGCCAAGGCGGGTGGATCACGAGGTCGAGAGATCAAGACCATCCTGGTCAACATGGTGAAACCCCGTCTCTACTAAAAATACAAAAAATTAGCTGGGCATGGTGGCGCGTGCCTGTAATCCCAGCTACTCAGGAGGCTGAAGCAGGAGAATTGCTTGAACCCAGGAGGCGGAGGTTGCGGTGAGCTGAGATCGTGCCATTGCACTCCAGCCTGGGTAACAAGAGCGAAACTCTGTCTCAAAAAAAAAAAAAGAAATGCAGGCTCAGAGAGATGAAGTAACTTGTCCAAGCTTAGCTGGCAAGCGTCGGAGCTGGGACTACAAGCTAGACCTCTCAGAGTGCCGACACTCAGAACACAGCAATGCAAGAGGCTCAGCTGGTGCCCCCAGTCCAGGTGGGGAGGAGAGGAGGAAGTGGCAGAGCTTCAGGCAGCACAGGTGGCTGACATCTTCCGAAAAAGGTGGAGACTGCCTCTGACCAGCCTCACACATCCCCTTTAAGTGGGTTTAACTTAGTGATTTTCTGTGTGCTTTTGGAATGCTGCCACTGAGGGGGTCATGAAATGTCACATGCCTCTCTGATGGTCTGAAGCAAAGTGCTTGCCTGTTCAGCAGTCCTTTGAAGCCTGTTGCAGTAGGAAGAGAGTGAGCTGGTCTAACAGACCTGGCTTCTCCACCCCGTTTAGCAGTCACAGCTGTGGGACCTGGGGCAACTCACGAAACCTCTGAGACTCAGTTTCCTCATCTGTAAGATGGAGATGGCACCAAACTGACAGTTCTCCACCAACAGAGGGTAGCTAATGATGCTTTGGCCACAGTGTTGCTGTGAAAAATTCAACAACAAAAAATGCACATAAAGCACCGAGCACAGGCCCCCACACACATGAAGCCTTCAGAAATACTTGCTCCTTTTCCCTTTCCCCCTTTGCCTGGTCAAGTTCACATTCCTCAGTCCCCCGTTTTCTTAATACTCAAATGAGACCCCATTAGACAATAAGAGGAATGGAAAAGCCTCTCGTGAAGATACTTTCATAAACTGCTCTCAATTTCCCCCCTTCCGGGGAATCTTCAAGCCAGCTAGCCACATGTCAGGACACTGTGACACATCGTTGGAGAATCTCTGGTGGAGCAACATCTCGGGGAACACAAGCCAAGCCATGACTGCCTGGCAAGTCCTTCTCACCTGGCAGACTAGCAACCAATAAATAATCTGTTGATTTGGAAATATCAGAAGGGCCAACTATAATAAGGCTATGTTTTGGTGTGTGTATATATTCTGCTGGGGAAACAGTTCATGTTTATCTCCCCTCCTCCCAGCCTCCCAGGATTTACGACGGGGCCTTCTTTTAATGATTAACAGCCAAGAGGGCAGAGATGAAGGAATCTGTTCTGGGTTGCGAAGCAAAGAAGTACTTTCTGAGACCATGTGACCCAAGATGGAAACACTGATGGGGACTGACAGGGTTTGGGTAGAATCCCAGAAAGCAGCTCGGAGGGAAAGGAAAGGAAAGGAAAATGAAGCCACCTCCTTACCTCTTGCTGCCAGAGTGAGCATCTCGACTGAAGTTGGAACTGTGCTTATTAATGGAATAATTAGTCAGGTGCATGCAGATGTTATCCTGGGGAAAGAGACAAACATTAGTGGGGTCAGCTTGGAAGGGCAGGCCCCCTGCTTCCTCTCTGTGCCCTCCCAAGGCCCCTGGGGCTTAAAAGGGTGGAAAGAAAGGGAAGTTTTAGGGCTTATTTAGTGTGGCAAAATAGAGGAAGTAAGAAGGGGTGTCCTGCTGCCTCCAGCCTAAGAAACTCGAATTTTTCCTGAGATTGAATAGTGCCCTGCCTGAGAAAAACTTCAGGAGTCCTGAGGGTCCAGGAAAGTGGAGGATGGCAGGGTAGCTCACCCATGGCCTTTTCTCTTTGAGTACCCCTGAACTGTGGTTCTGGCTTTGGAGTCAGGCAGACCTGGCCACAAGCCCCAGACTCACCTCTTCCTAGCTATGTAACCCTGGACAAGTCCCTTATGCTCTGGGTTTTAATACCATCATCTGTAAAATGGGGATAATAATCCCTCTCTGTGAGAGTTCCTGGGAGTGCAAAGTGAAACCTGGCACACAGCAAGTGCTCAGCAAATGACACTCACAATGTCTTGAGAATTCAGATTTAACTAGAAATTTTTTTTTTTTTTTTTTTTTTTGAGACAGTCTCACTCTGTCGCCAGGCTGGAGTGCAGTGGCACAATCTTGGCTCACTGCAACCTCCGCCTCCTGGGTTCAAGCAATTCTTCCGCCTCAGCCTCCCAAGTAGCTAGGACTACAGGCGCATGCCACCACACCCAGCTAATTTTTGTATTTTTAGTAGAGATGGGGTTTCACCATGTTGGCCAGGATGGTCTCGATCTCTTGACCTTGTGATCCGCCTGCCTCGGCCTCCCAAAGTGCTGGGATTACAGGCTTGAGCCACTGCGCCCCGCCTAGAAATTTTTTTTAAATCATGCTATGGGGGTAGGGTGAGGAGGGTGAGGTGGGGTGTCCCCTTAGCTCACCAGGTTGTCTGTGCAAGGGCGGGAGTATGAGGTCGTCGCAAAGCGGGCCAGTCCTTCATTGTACACAAAAATCCTGAGAGGGTCACAGGATGTCACCAGTACATAAATCCGTAGGTCAAACTTAAACCCATCAATGATAAAGGGCTGGAAGGAGAGAACAGAAGTCAGACATACATCAGAGGAGAAATTTACACTTGAAAATCACTAGCTCCCACCTTCTTTCCATGGAGTTGGCTTCAACATTGCCTAGTGTTGTAGAGGGCAGGCTTGGCCAGGGTCAGGCAGGGAAACAAGGAGACTTGGGCTCTGTGTCCCAGCATGTGACCCTGTGGAGGTCACTAAACCACACTGTGACTTGGTTTCCTGGAAGTGTCAAGTGACACTATGATCTGTCAAGTGACACAAGTAACCACCTCTAAGAGGCATCTTGGCAACTAATCAAAGTGACATTAAAAGCTTCTCTGAGGGGCTGGACGCGGTGGCTCAAGCCTGAGAATTGCCTGAGCCCAGGAGGCGGAGGTTGCGGTGAGCCGAGATCGCGCCATTGCACTCCAGCCTGGGTAACAAGAGCGAAACTCCGTCTCAAAAAAAAAAAAAAAAAAATGCCGGGCGCGGTGGCTCAAGCCTGTAATCCCAGCACTTTGGGAGGCCGAGGCGGGTGGATCATGAGGTCAAGAGATCGAGACCATCCTGGTCAACATGGTGAAACCCCGTCTCTACTAAAAATACAAAAAATTAGCTGGGCATGGTGGCGTGTGCCTGTAATCCCAGCTACTCAGGAGGCTGAGGCAGGAAAATTGCCTGAACCCAGGAAGCGGAGGTTGCGGTGAGCCGAGATCTCACCATTGCACACCAGCCTGGGTAACAAGAGCGAAACTCTGCCTCAAAAAAAAAAAAAAAAAAAAAAAAAAAAAAAAGCTTCTCTGAGGTTTACAACTAATTGATCATAACCAGTTACAGATTTCCTTGTTCCTTCTCTACTCCCACTGCTTCACTTGACTAGCCGTAAAAAAAAAAAAAAAAACTTCTCTGAGGCCAGGTGCAGTGGCTCACGCCTGTAATCCTAGCACTTTGGGAGGCTGAGGTGGGTGGATCACCTGAGGTCAGGAGTTCGAGACCAGGCTGGCCAACATGGCAAAACTCTGTCTCTACTAAAAATACAAAATTAGCCAGGCATGGTGGTGAGTGCCTATAATCTCAGCTACTCAGGAGGCTGAAATAGGAGACTCGCTTGAACCCCATGGGGCGGAGGTTGCAATGAGCTGAGATGGTGCCATTTCACTCCAGCCTGGATGAAAGAGTGAAACTCCATCTCAAAAAAAAAAAAAAAAAAAAAAAAAAAAAAGTCCTCTGATGGGCCAGGTGCAGTGGTTCATGTCTGTAATCCCAACACTTTGAGAGGCCAAGGCGGGAGGACTGCAGCATAGTGAGACCTTGTCTCTATTAAAATTCAAAAAAAATTATCCAAGTATAGTGGTGCATGCCTATAGTCATAGCGACCCAGGAGGCTGAGGTGGAAGGACTACTCAAGCCTGGGAGGTTGAGGCTACAGTGAGCCCTGATCACACCACTGCACTCCAGCCTGGGTGACAGAGCAAGACCCTGTGTCAAAATATATATATATATATATATATATATTTGATAGGCCAGGTACAGTGGTTCACACTGGGAATCTCAGCACTTTGTGAGGCTGAGTCAGGAGGATCTCTTGAGCCTAGGAGTTTAAGACCAGCCTCGGCAACATAGAGACCCTATCTCTACAAAGAAATTTGTTTTTGGCTAGGCATGATGGCTCACACCTGTAATCCCAGCACTTTGGGAGGCCAAGGCAGGTGGATCACCTAAGGTCAGGAGTTTGAGACCAGCCTGACCAATACAGTGAAATCAGATCTTCATATATATATATATATAATCAAAATTAAAAATTAAATAAAAATAATTTTTTAAATTAAAAATTAGTCTGGACATCATGGTTTACACCTGTAATCCCAGCACTTTGGGAGGCCAAAGCAGGCAGATCACTTGAGGTCAGGAGGTTGAGACCAGCTTGGTCAACATGGTGAAACCCTGTCTCTACTAAAAATAAAAAAAATTAGCTGGGTGTGCTGGTGGGTGCCTGTAATCCCAGCTACTTGGGATACTAAGGCAGGAGAATCACTTAAACCTGGGAGGCGGAGGTTGCAGTGAACCGAGATTGTACCACTGCACTCCAGCCTGGGCAACAGAGTAAGGCTCTGTCTCAAAAAAATAAAAGTTCCTAATAGGTCAGATGTGATGATGTGTGCCTGTAATCCTAGCTCTACTCAGGAGGCTGAGGTGGGAGGATTGCGTGAACTCAAGAACTTGAAGTTGCAGTGAGCTATGATTGTGCCACTGCACTCTAGCCAGAATGACAGAGCAAGACCCTAACTCTAGAGAAATAAAAATAATCTCTGTGTCTTAAGTCAAAACAAACAAACAAACAAAAAAGAAATAAAAATAAAATAATTTTGATGAATGGACACATTGTCACCATTCAGGGCTACATATAGTTGCAGTTCTTTTTTTTTTTTTAATTTTGGCTCATTGCAACCTCCACTTCCCAGGCTCAAGCGATTCTCCAGCCTCAGCCTCTAGAGTGCCTGGGACTACAGGCACTTGCCACCACATCTGGCTAATTTTTGTTGGTTTTTTTTTTTTTTTTTTTTTTTGTAGAGAAAGGGTTTCACCACGTTGCCCAGGCTGGTCTGAAACTCCTGAGTTCAAAGCAGTCCACTCGCCTAGCCTCCCAAAGTGCTGGGATTACAGGCATGAGCCACTTTGCTCGGCCAACACATAGTTGCAGTTCTATAAGAGTTCTCCCTGCAATGCCGTCTCTTGGCCATTTCTTCCCAGGGAGGTCAGTGTGTCCTGCTCTGTCCACACTCCTAGAGGGCTCCCTCCCCGCAATAGGCTGTGACCTACGACCTCCAGTCAAAGAGGAAAGCTGGTTGCTCTCCAGCACCATGCACCTTTCCCACATCAGGGCTTCCTCAAACCAAAGGTACACTCCCAGCCCTAATGTGTTAGAGGAAAAGGGCCAGCCTGGTAGGCACAGACCAAGTGACAAAGGTAAAAGGATAAGGGACCTTCTGGCCCGGGCACATGTCAGCACCCCTGATCAGAAGGCTTGGTTTGACAAAGTGCAAGGCAGAAGCCAGGTCGGCTCCACCTTCACCCTCCATCCCCTCATTTCACATTCTGTCCAGTGGAGCTCGAGCCCGAAGTTGCTGTGGATGATAAATAAATAATGGCAATGAGGAAGTACCTTTGAAATATAGAGCTGACAGATCATATCCTCCCCTGGTTTGATTTCTTTCACCGTCCGGGTGATGAATATGCCTTTCCCTTGGCAGCCCGAATCCGGCTTACAAATGTATGTCTTATTTTTTCTTGACCTGCTGTAGGTCTGCAAATCTCCCCAGCTACCAGAGCAGGGAGGGAACAAGATACATCTTTAGCTGAGTGGCAGTGAAAAGGCTGGCTAGCTCTTCATGAAGAAAAGAAAGAAACAAAGCCCTGGCATTGACAGACGCCCAGAAGTCCAGCAATGGGAGACAGTAGAGCACACACAGTGGGGGATGTAGGCTTCAGAGGGAATTCGGGCCGAGGCTGAAGACCAAGCAACACCATCTACCAGCGGTGCAACCCTCTGCAAGGATTTGACCTCTCTAAACCTCAGCTTCATCATCTAGACAGTGAGGATAATAATGGCACCCAGCTCCTGTGCTTCCTCGTTGCATGGCATAATGCAGGCAAACTGCTGCGTGCCCCATCAAGGTGACCATGGCACAGGTGGTTTGGCTCTCTGGGTTTGCAGACAGGAGCTTTGGAGTTCTGGATCTGGCTCAAGCCCTGACAAGTGATGTGACTTTGGATCCATCAGTCTCTTACCCCGCTCTGGGCTTCAGTGTTTTGTCTGTGACACCTCCATTTCAGCCAGAGTGTGAGAGAGCAAATCATACATTTGAACATCTTTTGAGGAAAGTATATTCAGAGAAAGAAAGAAACTAGGCCTGGCACAGTGGCTCATGCCTGTAATCCCAGCAATTTGGGAGGCCAAGGCAGGCAGATCATGAGTGTTCAAGATCAGCCTCATCAACATTGTGAAACCCCATCTCTACTAAAAATACAGAAAAAAAAAAAAGAAAGAAAGAAAAGAAAGAACATAAAGTAATGGATTCTGTCTCTCTGCCTTGCTATACTTATTTTGTTTTTAACTCACAGGAACCTTGTAACCATTGGGAAAGTCACCTAACTGCAATGTTCTTCAGTAACCATGAAATCTGGAGCTCCTGTTGACCTGATGGCATATACATTTCCTACTAATTTGCTGCTAAGCCTGAAAGTTGTTCCAGGCAAGTCAAGGAAAGTCTGAGAATCATGGAGCTCTTTGTTTTGGAAAGCACTGGGTGGAGAGTGGAGGGCGGAATTTCTTTGGTGCCCTTGCCTTATGAGTATAATCTGGTAGTGACACTGCTCCACCCCACCTCTGTCCTGTCTCAACCACCAGATTGCACCCTAGGTCATGTGTGTCATCTCACATTTCTCCTCTTACTCAGTGGTGTAGTCCAGTAGCATGTATTTTTACATACCAAGAACTGATGTCATTTTGAAGCAGATATAAAGAGAGCTGAGAGGGCTGGGCGTGGTGACCCATGCCTGTAATCCCAGCACTTTGGGAGGCTGAGGCAGGTGGATCGCCTGAGGTTGGGAGTTTGAGACCAGCCTGACCAACATGGAGAAACTCTGTCTCTATTAAAAACACAAAATTGGCCGGGCGCGGTGGCTCAAGCCTGTAATCCCAGCACTTTGGGAGGCCGAGGCGGGTGGATCACGAGGTCAAGAGATCGAGACCATCCTGGTCAACATGGTGAAACCCCGTCTCTACTAAAAATACAAAAAAATAGCTGGGCATGGTGGTGCGTGCCTGTAATCCCAGCTACTCAGGAGGCTGAGGCAGGAGAATTGCCTGAACCCAGGAGGTGGAGGTGGCGGTGAGCCGAGATCGTGCCATTGCACTCCAGCCTGGGTAACAAGAGCGAAACTCCGTCTCAAAAAAAAAAAAAAAAAAAAAAAAAAAAAAAAAAAAAAAAAAATATTAGCTGGGCGTGGTGGCGCATGCCTGTAATCCCAGCTACTCATGAGGCTGAGGCAGGAGAATCACAGTGAGCCAAGATGGTGCCATTGCACTCCAGCCTGGGCAACAAGAGCAAAACTCCATCTCAGAAAAAGTAAATATAGCAATCATGTTCACTCTAAAAATAAAAACAAAATAGATAAAAATAAAGAAAGAAAGCAAAGAAGGGGAAGTTCTGACTGCTATCCATAGCATTGCATGGGACAGAGGTCAGGCATCCCTCTCTGCTCCTAACCTGGGTGCTAACCACTATCACACTCTCTCCAGAGGTGCTCATGGTCCTTAGAGATTCGGAAAATGCAGTTACATGGTTGGAATGAATTCAAAATCAACAGCTTTCAGGGTCAGAACAAACTCTCACCCCAACTGCAGGTACAGGCTCCAAGGCACCCAGCCCCTCAATGTCATCTAATTTTACAGGCAGAGCCTTGTGTTTTCTCAACCTTGGACACACCCTTTATCCCTTCTCTTCCTGAACAGTAGCCAGAGAGATGGGAAATCATATGGGCAGGGAAAGTGGCAACCATGGAATCAGGGGCAAGAGGAAACGTAAATGGGGAAGGGTGTGGTGGAGGAAGCCCAGGGCAGGGGGCACTCACTCAGCAGGAAGACACCAGGTCCTAGGGAAAAAGTAGAAATCTTTAGGGAACATCTTTAACATGCGGCTCATATTCCTGGCCAGCAAGTCCTTCCGGCAGATTTCACTCATTCCCGGGAAGTGATTGATCTTCTGTAAGAGAAGCTGGAATTCATGAGCAATCCAGGGACAAGGGAGTACCACGAGATCTCCTCGGGAGACAGGTGTAAAAATGGGGCCCCGCTGGGTAAGATGCCACATTTAAACCAAGGACCATCACTAGCCCAAATACCTGGTAACTTTTCATTTCCATCACCCGCTCCAGTGACACTGAGTAATCTGTCCAATAGAGGGTCCAGTCATCGTTTTCCCCTCCCTCTCTAAGGCCATATTGTTGGGCAGCCCTGCGCACTATTGAAGAAAGAAAGGCCCATTAGCCTGGGAAGTGGGGGAGGAGCATGGGGTGGGGAGGTTCCATTTCTAGGTGCTCTCAGACCAAGTACTGAGGCAAGAGAACTTGGCTCCTTGGGACTGGAAGCCATCTCGCCCTGTATGGATACAAGAACGGAGAGTCAAACACTGCCGCCACATCACTTAAGCCCAGCAGTTCAAGACCAGCTTAGCCAACATGGCAAAACCCTGTCTCTACTAGAAATACAAAAAAATTAGCTGGGTGTGGTGGGAGCCGCCTGTAATTCCAGCTACTCAGGAGGCTGAGGTGGGAGAATAACCTGAGAGCTGGAAGTCAAGGCTGCAGTGAGCCATGATTGTGCCACTGCCCTTCAGCCTGGGCAACAGGAGACCCTATCTGAAAAAAAAAAAGGGGGGGAGAGAAGAAAAGAAAAAGAAAGAAGGAAAAGAAAGGAACATGGAGAATTGAAAGCTACTAAAGAATCCAGCTTGTGATCAATGATCCCCGTAGAAGATTAACTGGGGTGAACATCTTCCTGTTCTGGCTTCCTCTTGCCAGAAAGCAAGATTTTGCTTTCCTCCAGACACCAAGCTCTAAATGTTCACAGAATATAAACTAATCCTTAACATCAGCCAGAGCCAAGCTTAATTGGTATATGGTATATTGAGTGTTCATGTTTTTAAAAAAGTATACACTGGATTTTAAAACCACATGTGTGCTGTCATATCCTTCTTCCTTTCCCTGTTAAGATTAATAAGTAGGAGCTGACTCCAACACAAACTCAAATGCCTTCAAGGGCCTAGAATGGGAGAAGTGCCTGCAGTAACCGGGACAGTATGAGACTACCCTAAAGCATTCACATTTAAATTTAAAATACAGCAACAGGCTGGGCACAGTGGCTCCCACCCAAAGTGATCCCAGCACTTTGGGACGCCAAGGCAGGTGGATCATCTGAGGTCAGGAGTTCAAGACCAGCCTGATCAACATGGTAAAACCTTGTCTCTACTAAAAATACAAAAATTATCTGGGCATGGTGGCATGTACCTGTAATTCCAACTACTTGGGAGGCTGAGGCAGGACAATTGCTTGAACCTAGGAAGCGGAGGTTGTAGTGAGACAAGATCATGCCACTGCACTCCAGCTTGGGTGACAGAGCAAGACTCCATCTCAAAATAAATAAATGAAATAAAATAAAATACAGCAAGAGCCAGGCACAATGGTTTACACCTGTAATCCCAGCACTTTGGGAGGCCAAGATAGGTAGATCACTTGAGGTCAGGCGTTTGAGACCAGCCTGGTCAATATGGCAAAACCCTATCCCTACTAAAAATACAAAAATTAGCTGGGCATGTTGGCAGGTGCTTGTAATCCCAGCTACTCAGGAGGCTGAGGCAGAAGAATCACTTGAACCCTGGAGGCAGAGGTTGCAGTGAGCCGAGATCTCACCACTGCACTCCAGAGCAAGACTCCATCGCAAAAAAAAGCAACAGCAGCACTGTGCTCCGAAGTACAAAATAGATTTGTAGATCTGGTTCAGCTCAGGAACTGCCAGTTTCTAACTGTGTTCTAAAACAGAGCCACTGACTATAGCGACAGCTGTCTTTTACAATTAGATCCCCAAATCACTATATGTAAGAATTAAAGATAATTGAAGTACACACCATTGTGGTGAAAATCCATGACTCTTGGAATAAGATTCCCAACTTCCTTAATTAAATAGCTCATTGAGCTAGGAGAACTGAAGGACAGGATTTAGAGACACCCCCTTTCATTCTTACAAATACACAAGAATGACTCTTCCCAACCCTTTGGGAAAATCCAGTGGGTCCCCATTATAGATCCCTTGAATGTAGATGCTCACCACTCTCATACCGGCAGCTGGACAGATTGATCACCAATCATCTGGAAAAGAGAAAAAGGAAAGCAGCAAGACAGAGACACACTTGCCAGAACAAGCGGCTGTGCCCAGAAACATCCTGTCCCAGGTGGAGCTGCCTGAAATCTAGCCTGCCACACTAAGCCTGGTTTGACTGCCCCTGTTGCTGAGACACGAGTCCAGAGGGGTGCAGCATGGTGGAAAACATGGAATCAGGGTACGGTCACTCTATCCAGAAGGCAGAAATTCTGTGTTGCAATTACAGTCATCTTGCTTGAAGCTTCTTACTACCATCACTGTTTCAAATCTTTTATTCCACTGGCCCATCAGGGACAGGAATTGAAAATCTTTTTGGCCAAAATACCTCTCTCCTTCCTCTTCCCCCCATTAAGGGAAACTATGAATTAGAAAGTGGACAAGCTTTCCTTCATCAAACAGTCCGAATGGAGCAAGGCATGGTGAAATATTCAAAAAGAACTGGAATACACAAGCTGCAGCTGGATCCTGATAAGTCAATACAGTTCTGTCATATTTAAGGTGTACTAAATTTCCAGGACAAATAAGCACCTTCTTAAAACAATGAAATCTTTTCTTTCAACTATTTTTTAAAGGCATCCTAAACACAAATAGAATGAAAATTAGGACAAGGCGTGGTTTTTTTAGATTACACACATGACTATTTGATTCTATAAAACAGATCACCAAAAGTTGATTCTTTTTATATGAACCAAAAGTGGTGAGATTTCGACAGTCTCAGCACACAGTTTCTCCTTTACCCTCTCATCATCAGCTAAGGCCCCCCTCTCTCCAGTTCCTTCCTGTTCTCATCAACATGGCTCCCCATTCCCCATCTTTCAATCCTAACCTTTTTTTCTTCCTCTTCTTCTTGCCTTGCTGCTGGGCATTCTCAAGTCCGTTTTGTGCCTCTGGGTTCTCTCTCACAGGAGCCAGCGCCATGGTTTCTTTTGGATCTTCTATGAAACTCTCCCCCTTCTCTTCGGAGTTTGCACCTTCCTGGCTTTCAAAAGTCAGGCACTGTGGCATCTCCCTGGCCTAGGAGGAGGCTCTGGGGAAATACCAGGCACCCCCCTGGAGAGAGGGCAGAGGAGCCGCAGTTACAGGGATCTACCTGCAGGGGGATCCCCTCCCTCACTCATGTGGGTGGTGAACCAGGGTTCTAATTGAAGGCAACAGGTCGCAGTTTATAAAATGCCACCCGGCCTCCAAGGTTTGATGCAAGCTCAGGGAGGGAGCTGATTCCATCTTTTGTCATTGACTGTGACCTTGGAGACTCACTCAGCCAACCCTAGCCTTGGTTTTTCCCTCCTGGGGTTTTCAGGAGCAGCCTGAGATGCTATGCATGGCACCACCTAGTAAACAATCTTATTAAAGTGAGTGAGTATCTGGAGACAGCCTCAGGAGGAAGCCCCAAGCCTTCCTAGCGGAGAGAGTTAGTCCCAGAGGGTGCAGGTGGAGGTGCTTTGAGGCGGTCTGTTAACTGTTTCCGAACTGTGCTGAACCTCCCACAAAGCAATATGCTGGCCTGAAAATGAATGCAACTGCCACTCACGGAGTACAGGACTGTAGCTGATTGAACAGTAAGATTCAAGCCCAGGCCCAGATGTAGACCTTCAGAGACACCAACCACAGAGAAGGCTATGTCTCCCCCCCAATCCATTCCAAAATAAAAACAAGATCAAATTTTAAAATACATGTAAGGAATTCCAGCAGAGATCACATTCTCCCTGGCTCCACGAGAATTCTTTAATGTTTGCTCAAAATGTCAAATATCACCAGGTGCAGTGGCTCACACCTGCAATCCCGGCACTTTGGGAGGTCGACAGGGGCAGATCACTTAAAGTCAGGAGTTTGAGACCAGCCTGACCAACATGGTGAAACCCCGTCTCTAATAAAAACATCAAAAAAATTTAGCAGGAAGTGGTGGCGGGCACCTGTAATCCCAGTTACTCAGGAGACTGAGGCAGGAGAATCACTTGAACCTGGGAGGCAGAGGTTGCGGTGAGCTGAGATCATGCCACTGCACTCCAGCCTAGGCCATAGAGCGAGACTCCATCTCAAAAAACAAAAAAAGAAATGTCAAATATCAACTATTTTTAATGGATTTGAATGCCCCTGCTTCAATCCTCCTTAAGAGCGTGCTTAGTTTGCCTTTAGGTAACCCAGAACCACCAGGCCCAATTAATGAATTCATATTCTCTCACACCTTCCTCTCCTCACCTCTGAAAACCCTGCAAACCTCCTCCCATTTCAACCCCTCTCCTCTGATGTCCACAGTCCCCTGGCTACTTACTACCTGTTCTTCCCTGACAAATTCTTTGGATATAAAAAGAGATAATAACATCTTTATTGCAATGAATTATTATTACAATAATATAACATTAAAGGAGACTTAGAAAATGAGGTAGGATGAGAAATCTCCTGTAGTTTTCCTACCCTATCATAGCCACTTTAGACTCTCTGTGGATTCACTTTTATTCTTAATTTCTAAGCATAAGGCCGGGCACAGTGGCTCACATCTATAATCCCAGCACTTTGGGAGACTAAGGCGGGCAGATCACTTGAGGTCAGGAGTTCGAGACCAGCCTGGCCAACATGGAGAAACCCCGTCTCTACTAAAAATAGTAAAAATTAGTCGGGCGTGGTGGTGCACACTCAAATCCCAGCCACTTGGGAGGCTGAGGCAGGAGAATCGCTTGAATCTGGAAGGCGGAGGTTGTAGTGAGCCAAGATGGCACCATTGTTCTCCAGCCTAGGTGACAAGAGCAAGACTCCACCTCAAGAAAAAAAAAAACATTAATTTTAAAAAACAATAAGAATTTCTAAGCATAATTATTCTTATATAATTGTAATCAATTTTATATTTGCTTTTTGCCCACTTGGTAGATCATAAACAGCCTTTTCATTGTGGCAAGGTTTATATGTTTCTGGGTTTTTTGGTTTGTTTATTTGTTTGTTTGCTTGTTTTGAGACAGTCTTGCTTTGTCACCCAGGGTGGAGTGTAGTGGTGCAAGCTTGGCTCACTGCAACCTTGGCCTCCCAGGTTCAAGCAATTCTTGTACCTCAGCCTCCCAAGAAGCTGGGATTACAGGCATGCACCACCGCACCTAGCTAACTCTTATATTTTTAGTAGAGACGGACTTGTGCCATGTTGGCCAAGCTGATCTTGAACTCCTGACTTCAAGCAACCTGCCTTCCTCTCATAGTGTTGAGATTACAAGCATGAGCCATTGTGCCTGGGCATTTCTAGATTTTTTCTTTCTTTTTTCTTTTTTTTTTGAAATGGAGGCTCACAATGTCGCTCAGTCTGGAGAGCAGTGATTCAATCTCGGCTCACTGCAACCTCAGCCTTTTGGGTTCAAGCGATTCTCCTGATTCAGCCTCCCGAGTAGCTGGGATTACAGGTGTCTGCCACCATGCCCAGCTAATGCTTTGTATTTTTAGTAGAGACGGGGTTTCACCATGTTGGCCAGGCTGGTCTCAAACTCCTGACCTCATGATTCACCCGCCTCAGCCTCCCACAGTGCTGGGATTACAGGCATGAGCCACTGCACCCAGCCTTCTGGTTCTGTTCTGTTCTGTTTTGTTTAGACAGAGTCTCACACTGTTGCCCAGGCTGGGGTGCAAGGGTGCAATCTCAGTTCACTGCGACCCCTGCCTCCCAAGTTTACCTGATTCTCCTGCCTCAGCCTCCCAAGTAGCTGGGATTACAGGCACACACCACCACACCCAGCTAGTTTTTTGTATTTTTAGTAGAGACAGGGTTTCACCATGTTGGCCAGCCTGGTCTTGAACTCCTGACCTTGTGATTCGCCTGCCTTGGCCTCCCAAAGTGCTGGGGTTACAGGCATGAGCCACCGTGCCCAGCCTTCTAGTTCTTAATGGCTGTATGTATTTCATTGAAAGAATGTACCTGAATGTAACCAACCTTTGTCCTATCGTTGGAAATGTAAGTTGCTGCCAATTTTGATATTATATAAATAGCTCTAAAATGCTCTCTTGCATGTGCACGTGCAGAAGGCCTTTTACTTACTTGGGGTTATTTTCTTAATATCCTGATATTACAGGGTTAATGAATATGCAAATTATATAGCTTCTCATATATATATGTGTGTGCGTGTGTGTGTGTGTATATATATATATATATATATATATATATATATGTATGTATGTATGTATATGTATATACCATGTTGCTACCCAGAAGGATTGCAGTAATTTGGAATACTACCAGCAATATGTGACAAGAGCAGGCTCACCAGAGTCCCACATCTCTTGGGAGTCATCTTCCCTCTCCACACAAATTTGCTAACTATTTTTGTTTTTGTGGTTTTTTTTTGAGATGGAGTCTTGCTCTATCACCCAGGCTGGAGTGCAGTGGTGCCTTCTGGGCTCACTGCAACCTATGTCTCCCGGGTTTAAGTGATTCTCCTGCCTCAGCCTCCCAAGTACCTGGGTTTACAGGCATGTATAACCATACCAGGCTAATTTTTTGTACTTTTAGTAGAAACGAGATTTCACCATGTTGGCCAGGCTGGTCTCGAACTCTGGGCCTCAAGTGATTCGCCTGCCTCAGCCTCCCAAAGTGCTGGGATTATAGGCGTGAGCCACTGTGCCTGGCCCAAACTTGCTAATTCTAGACAACTTTTACACCCTATGGCCAATGTCTTCAATATGACTGCACCCTTCCACCTCTCTCTGTTCCTTTCTAAAACCAAATTTGGTGGTGTGGAGCCCTTTAACTATGGAGGCTACCCATAAATAATTTAATAATAGGCCTTTATGTGGGGATAGTTCTCTGGGCTTTTCAAAGAATTTTCATATACATGCTCCCATTGAATACTTACAACAAGAGAGAAGGCAGAATAACTAAGTCAGTCAAGGATTGCCACTTGGTTCTCTCTCTTTCTGAAGAGGGCTGCCACTTACACGTAAGACCCTTTGTGGTGATACCAGCACAGTGGGGAGAAGAGATGCCCACAGTGCAATTGACAGATAAAACCTGGGCCCTGTGAGTCAATTGTTCCCAGTGAACAGGTGCGTTCTTGGCAAAGTTCAGGGGAACTAAGGTACATGAAATCTTGACCTTGGGCTGCTCCCTTCCTTGCAGGTAAACGGCCAGCTCCACTCCCCTAGCCCTCCACAACCGCTCCTGTGTACCAAGCCCTCAAGGAGGAGTGGCTGTATTTACCTAAAGGTTAATGTTAACTTGAGGAGAGAAAACTGACCCTGAATTTGACCTCTGGAAGTAC